CTTCCTTTTTATTTATTTTTGTATATAATTAATAAATATTATATATAATAAATGATAAATACCTTTTATTTGCAAAATTAGGGTTTTGCCCTAAAACATAAAAATATCCAAAATTAATCCTTTTTTATTTTTGTTTATTTGTCACATAAAAAATACCTTTTACATACAAAAATCATTTTTTGCATCTTGCATATTTATTTTATTTCATTTAATTAATTGTACAATTCTAATACTTGTATATTCAATTTGGATGTAATAGTTTAGATTTAAATTTCTTGCTAAATATCCCCATTTGAACATTTGTACCCCCCCATCCCATAATTGTGTTGTAATAATTTAGGACTTTAAATTCCGCATTTTAAAAGCTTTCTAAATATGCCATGATAGATTTAAGGTTTGTATGCAAAAATCAACCAAACAAATAGCTTGACCTAATTCAAAGATAACAAAGCATGAAAATGGACAACACCAATCACACTTGCACCCCTAGGATTACTCCACTTGTTGCCTTCAATAATGGGCCATGTTGCATGTTGGGTGTTTTTGGCAAAAACAAAACAATATCAAATGATCATAGTCCCTCGATGACGCTTTCGAAAGTTGCCTAAAAATGATCAAGTCCCTTAAAGGAAAAAGTTGCCAAAGACACTTGGCACCATTGCAATCATGGTCTAAAACGATGACCCACGCCCGTACCATTAACATCCTAACACAAGATTGTCCACCAAATACAATGGTAGAACAAAATTGTTAAAAGGGTTAAAACATAGGAATGATCTTTGAGAAATTTAGGGTAGATAGCTCTTGGTTACTTGCCAACTTGCAAAACAAAAACACTTGCTTATTTTTCAAAACCACACATCACAACACACTTTCAAAACAACTTTCAAAAACATTGAAAACTTTTCAAAAGATATACACCTTTGTATACATCCAAACATGGGTCATTACAAAGGTTGCCACAACAAAATGGCCTCTTTTCAAAACATTTTCAAACCTCTTTTCAAAACATTTTCAAACCCACACACAAAGCACCATTTCAAACAATTGAAAGCACCATTTCAAACAATTGAAAATGCAAGGCAAGTGATCTAAGCAAGTAACTAAGAGCCCATGGATAACCATGGATAGAAAGGGTGATAATACCTTCCCTTTCTATAATCTACTCCCCGAACCCAAGAAAACATCTCAAAGGTTTTTGCTGTGCTTTTTAACCTTTCCTTAGGATAAAATAAAAAGTAAGTGGCGACTCTTGCTCAACCGAAACATTTGCGAAAACAAACGCAAAACCCAAGTCAGTTCTCCCACCGTATCACAAAACTCATCACCCAGTTTGGTTTAAAAAATGTATCCAAACAATAAAGCTAACAAACTCATTCACCCACGTTACTAATAGCTCATTCAATAACAGAAAAAACAGAAATCAAACTAACCCTATAACTAACCAAACATAATTCCCAACTGAATTTCATAAACCTACAACTAAATCCCATCCTCGCCATTAATCCTCTAACTACCTCTTACAGATTTAAGGCTTTAGATTCATCCTCATTCAACTTTCATTCATTTGAATTCAAACTCCCCATTACAAAAAAAAAGTGAAACATTCAAAATCTTACATATTCAAAAGAGCATCCAATTACAAAATCCATTATACCAAGATGTCACAATACATGTTTAGTACCTACCAACTACACTACCAGGTCTCCAAGTTCAATACATCAAACTCTCTGTCTCAAAATTACACAAAAATAATACAAATACTATCCTAAACTTATGTCGTTCATCTTCAATCTTCATGTTATTTCATCTTCAATCCTTGCTCACTTCTCAAACTTCTAGCAATGCACATGCCCTGGACATTCTCTTCTCATTCCCTTCGCCCCTACCATAAAATCAGACCCGACTTTTATTCAAGCAAATGGGAGAGTCCTACATTTTTTTCAAGAAACCAGATCACCATGTCAGTTTAGAATAAATCAGACTGTAGAGGGAATAACAAAAATGGTGGGAAATCTAGAAAAGAAAATTGGTTTCGTCCAAAGCCAGAAAATTCATGACAGAAATTCGTTAACCACTGTTACATAAACTGTAGACCTGTCTAAAGAATATGCAGAAAATCAGGATTCATAAACTATCATATCATCCAAAACAGTTTGCATAGCCCTGTATTCGTCAAACTCGCCACCTTCTTCATGTTGTTCCAAGGCCAAACCTGTACCATAACATAAACCCAAATCAAGACAGCTATGAGTATGCTATGTTTCAAAACAGAACAAAAACCAATCAATAACATTCACCAACATGTTGGAGACACAAAGAAGTTGTCAAATTTCATTCATCGGGATATACAATTCAAGATAGAGAGAAAATAATTGAAGCTGGAGAATAAAGTAAAAAAGAGAAGGTATGCAAAATAGAAGTGAAGACCGTGAAAGCAGGTCCATGAAAATCAAAACAGAATAACCAATCATAACTATTTCATAACAGAATTTCTAACAATAATCAACCCTGTTTAACAGAACCAATTTCTAAATGTCCTCTTCCCTAACTAACTAACCAAAACCTAACTGTCACAATCCCTAACAACTTACTGTCAAAAAACCGAATTCCCTCTAACCGCTCCAATAGAAAAACAGTCCAACAAACTTCAACTAACTTCCTAACCGCATCTAAATAGAATTCAACAAACAGGATGTAATAGAACACATAAGAAGGAAAAAGGGATCCACGATTTTTTTCTACAGCATTCAGAAAATTCACCAGAAAAAGGGAGAGGAAAATCAGTTATAAAAATCACCAGAAAATCTTCACTCTTCTGGCCTCTACATTCTCTCTCTGAATTAACGCTCTGCAACCTCAACCCTCATCTTCATCAACACATCAATCTTCTTTGCTGCTTCAATATCACAACCTCATCGCATCATAGAACAAACAACACAACTCTAAATCATCTTCATCATCTTCACGTATCTCGACACATCAACGACCGCAACTTCAACCTTCAACTCTCTCATCTCTCTGTAAGCTTGCTGCAACGACATCAGCATCATCATCACATCTTTTGCAGCTTCGTCATATAGTTTCATCAAATCTACAAGTGCGACGACATCAACGAAAATTGCACAAACGTTGAAGCAGAAGTTTACGGAGACAAGAAGAAGTCGCGCGAATGAGTTAAGGGATTTCGTACCTGAATACACAAGAGTTTCCAGACTTCTGCTCATATTCACCAATCGTAGGTGCACCAGACGGTTTTCCGGTTGGTAAGATTTGTATCTTATTTTGTACGTCGTTTCATATGTTTTCAACTTTCTGGAATTTGGATTCGTTTTGGTTACGAAGCTGCGAATAGAAGAGACAAAATGAGAAACTGATGATGAGTTGAACTGGATGACGACAAAGAAGCGACAATATCAGGGGATTTACAATGGAGTTGTGAAGATGAATATATCTAAGCCGAGTTTTGAGGGTCGCAGCAGCGAAGGATATTGAGAGGCACCGTCTGCAAGTTTGGAATGGGAAAAGATCGGTTCGGGGAAGCTCAATAGACATAATTCTGAACCCTAACTTTTTTGTATTAAAATTTCATTGCTTTTCCTCTCTTCTTATTCTTTTTTTTTTCATATTAATAATAGTTGAGATGATAATATACTGGAAAAATGGAACTTAGTATTGGACCGGACTCCACATACACTCTCTTGGGCCGAATCTGTACTTTCCTGGCTGTAGTCACTTTTTTGAAGCCTATTGCTGAAATAGTAAGAACAAAAAATAGCTTCTGGACTCCTTTTCATGGGACATGCACCTAGAGCCATTGCTGGAAAATACACCTTAGTTCAGACTTTACACCCCCTGAACTCTTTACGTTTTCATTTTATTTTTTCTTTACCAATTTTCTTTTTTTGGCTTTTGTCAATTTTTATTGCATGACAAAATAATCTAAAAAATAGTTAGAATATTTTAGGAAGTATTTTTAGGTTCTCTTTAGAATTTTATTAGAATTTTCTATTATTTTTATGCTTGGTAATCATTTTTGTTGCCATTTTTAGTCAAGATTTTGTGATAGAATGTCGATGCAACTTTCGCAATGTGGAATGTTTGGAGACTAATACTTTGATCACTCGTGCAGAGAAGCTTCTGTAGAGTTTTCTTATTGCTTGTGTGATTATGAAGAGGAAACAGACCTTTTTCGTTCGGTATCATCACAACTTCATTTTATTCCATATTGAAATTATATAAACTAAAATTTACTTATTAATTTTATTATTAGTAGATTTATTAAAAACTTAATCAATCTCATTAATATATTTAATATTTATTTTTTCATTATATTAAGATAACAATGAATTAGACTTTAAAAGTCTCTAATTTTGTTGTTTAAATTTTAATAGATTTCATTTCAAATCTTGTTCTAAACCTCTAAATTTGTTGAGTTGGATGTGGACCTGATGATTTTATTAATAATAATTGGATTGGGTGATTTTATTAAATGGATACTAATTGAATAGTTATGTTTTATTATATTATTATTAGATTGTAAATAGATTGTTGAATCATTTTACTAAAAAGAATTCATCATTTTTTCAACACATAATTATGGAATTGTTTCGGTTGATTTTTCTTCTTTCTCAATCTCTTTGAAATTGAATACTCCTTTTTATGTTTATATAAAAGTTTAATGTGTGGAGATCCCTAAATTTCGCTAACGTTTTAGATTCAACCTATCTATGGTATTTGATTTTAAATATTTTCTCACCTATATTATCATATAGTAGCTTTTTTTTTTTGTTGGTAACCATCATATAAGTTTGTTCCTACTTTTTTTTAGGAATTTTCAAATATAAATATTTTTTTTTTAGATATGATAAATCTTTTATTTCAAATGTGATAAGATTTAACTAAAAACCCTATAAACGTGCGACTAAGTATCTCTATAAATACATTCAAGCAATGTGTTAATATTTATTCATAAACACAATCAAATATTTTTTCAAACCATGGTTTCCATTCAAAAACTTCTCTTGATTCTCACATTCTTCACATCCTTCATTAACCCTACAACCTCCCAACCATGCAACTCATACACATTTCCACACAACCTTAACTACAAATCATGCAAAAATTTACCCGTATTGGAATCCTCTTTACATTGGAACTACAATCCAACAACTAGTATAGTTGATATTGCTTTCAAGAAAAATAATGCAAGAGATTCAAGTTGGATTGCATGGGCCATAAACCCTAATTCAAAGGGCATGTTAGGATCACAAGCCTTAATTGGCTATCGAAAATCTGATGGAAATTTCAAAGCTTATACATCATCGATAACAAGTTATGCCACTATGTTACAAGAAGGTAATATTAGTTTCCCCGTTTATGATATTTCGGGAATCTATGTAAACAATAGCATGATGATCTTTGCAAGCATGCAACTTCCTCAAAACATGACTTTGGTTAATCATGTTTGGCAAGAAGGAATTGTTTCTAGCGATGGAAATTTGAAATCACATGCACTTACTGGATCTAACCTTCAAAGTTTTGGAACTTTAGATTTTAATTCAGGAATTATTTCTCCCAAGACCGGTGAGAAAAAGATGTCAAGAACCATAATAAGAAATGTAAGTGACAATGATTCAATTTTTATTTATTTCTTACTTTAGATTATTATTATTATAAATAAAAAATTATTTATGTTTTATGAAAAAAAAATTGATGCAAATTAGGTTATTCATATTTTAAACTTGGTTATTAATATTATATTTCAAACAAACTAACACTTTATCATGCATGACAGGTGCATGCAATTTTGAATACAATAAGTTGGGGAACATTGATGCCAATTGGAGTAATATTAGCTCGTCATTTGAAATCATTTGAAGGATCAAAAGGATCAATATGGTTTCATTTACATAGAGCTTGTCAAACTATAGCACTATTAATTGGGACTATTGGTTTTGGCACTGGTTTATACATGGGAAATCATCAAGGACTACACAACACTCCACATAGATGTGTTGGAATTACTATATTCACATTAGCGGTTGTTCAAGTTTGTGTTGCATTTTGTCTCCGACCAAAGAAAGATCACAAGTATAGAATATTGTGGAACGTTTTTCATTTAATAGTTGGTTACACAACTGTTGTTTTAGCTATATGGAATGTGTTCAAAGGGTTTGATATTTTTGGAGGTGATTTCATATGGAGAAATATTTATGGTGCTGTAATTGGATCTTTGGTTTTAGTTGGGTTAATATTAGAGGTTGTAACATGGATCCGATTATGGAAGAAGAACAACAAGAGAACAACTCAAGAACTTGGTGCATAGGGAAAGTATGAAGTTTAATGTGTTTGATGAAGTTCAATGTTTCATTGTGTCTATGCGGGGTAACTTCTGTTAATTAGTTATGTTGCCTTTGTGCTATTATGGAGTTTATATTGAGTAGCATTAAGTCATTATATTCTTTAAGATCTTTTTCCTTCTGCATAAAGTACAATATTTAGGTCATTATATTATCTATTTATTTAAGAGTTTAATGGTTATGCAAGTATAAATAGTTTTGCACAGTACATTAAGATTTTAATGGTTATGCACTAAAAGTATAAATAGTTTTACACAATAAATTAATAAGAATAAATTAATCAATCATGTTATATCATTAATTTAAAATTTAGAGTTAAATAAGTTTTTGGTTGTTTTAAATATCTTAAATTTCGTTTTTAATCTTTTTAAAAAATTTCTTTAAAGAATGGTCTTTTTAAAAAATAAAATTTTAATTTTTGATCTCTGCTAACAAAATCGTAGTTAAAATAGTCTCTAATTCTGTCATTAAAATAAAAATCGTCGCTAAGTTGTAAATACCGTTACTAAATTGCAGGAAGAATCAAAAATTAAAATTTAATTTTTTAAGAAAATCATTCTTTAAAAATAATTTTTAGAGAAACTAAAAATGAAATTTAAAATATTTAGAGAAATAAAAAAACTTATTTAACACAAAAACTTATAATCTAGTCTGGCCGGATTATGATAATAATCAATTGAGAGTGTAAAATAATTTAACATGCATGTAAATATCTCATTTTCTCTTTATTTAAATTGCATAACAAATTTAAATCATACACTAATATGAGTATTGCTTTCACATACGTGTAAGTTTACGTCTAAACTATTTTTATTATAAAAAAAAAAAAAAATGACAACTAATGATTTTTGGCAAATTATAAATTATTTTTACAAGTTACTCTCAAAAGTTTATAAAATTTTTAAGTTTACTCTTTTGTTCCATATCTTGTATATTGGGTTTATTTTTGGTCCCTAAAACAATCACAAATGTTTATTTAAAACACGTGGCAACCACGTCAGTGCAACATTGTCATATTTATTTATTTTAACTAATAAAATGAAAATAAATTATTAACATGATTTAGTTTGTACAGTTAAAGAGTCTAAATGATTTTTTAAAGTTGTATGATCAAGCTAAATAATGAGTATAAGATACATGACACAAAAACATATTAAACTTTATTCTTATAAATTCTTTCAAATAATTTCAGTTATTGATAGATAAGTTTAAAAATTTCAATTCAAAAACACATCTTAAAATATAATTTTAAATTTTTAGCTTTGTTGATTAAAAGCTAGTTGGATCGAACAACACATTGGATGTAGATGTAGTATTTCGACATAGTCAAAATCTGGAGAGTGTTGTCATCGAAGTCTGTTCATGTATTGTAGCATTCAGCATGTAAAAAATAGTTATGTGTGTCATGTAATGGTTTAATCTTTATACATTAGATACATATGCTACTAATCTATAAATAGGTTGTGTTCTCTCATTTTGTAGAGACGTGGCTGGTGATTCGCTTGTAAACAAATATACTCTTTATGAAATTAAATAAAAATTATGTTTTAACTATCTTTGTTATCTCTCCTCTCTCCTCTCTCCTTGATTAAAAAGGTTTCTTAGTTTTCAAGAAATTCTCTCATTCTCACAACACTACTTTGTTTTTGGCATTGAATTTCTCAACAAATTGGTGCAGCGAGTATGGATCAAGATGTCTTCAACAAAGTATGAGATAGATGAATTCACAGGAGAAAATGATTTCAGATTATGGCGCTTGAAGATGCGAGCATTTCTTGTTCAGCTAGGTCTGCTAGAAACGCTGAAGGGATCCAGAAACATGGATGTTTCCCTAACAGAGGGGGAGAAGACGATGATGATTGAGAAAGCCCACAGTGCCATCACTCTGAGCCTTGGTGGTAAGGTTCTCAAGAAGGTCTCGAATGAGAATACCATAATAGTTGTGTGAATCAAACTTGAAGGTTTGTGCATGAACAAGTCTTTGGTCAATCGTCTCAACCTGAAACATGCTTTATATTCATTTAAGATGAGTGAAGACAAAGTCTTGACTGAGTAGTTTGGTATGTTCAACAAATTGATTCTTGATCGGGAAAATATTAATGTTAGCATTGGCGATGATGATCAATCGTTATTGTTACTGTGTAATATACCAAGATTCCATTCTCATTCCAAAGAAACTCTTTTGTATGGAAGAGAGTCCCCGACCTTTGAAGAAGTTCAACCGGCCTTGTATTATAAGAAATTGAATGAGAAGAATGAGTAGAAGTTATCTTCAGTTGGAGAAGGATTGTCAACAAAGGGAAAATTCTCGAAGAAAGATAGTAAGTTTGATAAGAAGAAGGGTAAAGTTTGACAAAAGTCTTATGGTGGTGATACTCTTGCTATTAAGTGTTACCTCTGTAAGAAGGAAGGTCTTACAAGAAAGTTGTGTCCTGATAGGTTGAAGAATTATGGTGATAGCAAGGATAATTGAAATACAACCATTTTTCAAGATAATTATGAATAATCAGATGTCCTGGAGGTTTCGAGCATCAACTCTAGCAAGGAGTGGATTATAGATTCAGGTTGCACGTGACACATGACTCCAAAAAAATATGTGTTTGAAGAATTATGTGATCAAGAAGGTAGATCATTGCTGCTGCGAAAAAATAGAGCCTGTAAGATTGCAGGGATTGGATCTGTAAGGTTCAAACTCCATGATGAAACCATAAGGCTGCTGACAGGTGTCAGGTATGTACCTAATCTAAGAAGAAATTTTATTTCTCTTGGTGCATTCGATAAGAAAGGATATGTTTTCAAAGGAGAGCATGGTATCTTGAGAATCATGAAGGGTTCGAAGGAAGTATTGAGAAGAGTCAAGAAACAAGGCTTGTATTCCCCTGAAGCTGGGGTCATAAGGGACTCAACTGATATTACATCATCGAAGCACGTGACAAAGGCTGAGTTATGGCACGTGAGACTTGGCTATGTCAGTGAAAAAGACTTGGATGGATTAGGAAAGAAAAATCCGTTAGGTGTTGTTAAGGTCGAAAAGCTGGAGTTATGTAAATTGTGAGTATTTGGTAAAGCTTGCAAAGTGAAGTTCAACAAAGGCCAACAAAGAACAAATGGATCTCTTAATTATATCCATGATGATCTTAGGGGACCTGCAAAAAACCCATCACACTAAGGTGTAAAGTATTTTCTATCCATAGTTAATGATTACTCAAGAAAACATTGGATATTCATTAAAAAAAACTAAGGATGAAACTTTTGGAAACTTCAAAAGTTGGAAAACTTTGGTGGAAAATCAGACTGGAAGGAAGGTCAAGAGGTTAAGGAAAGATAATGGCCTTGAGTTTTGCAATGATGCATTTAACACTTATTGTGTTATGTTAGGGATTGCAAGGCATAAAACTACGACAGGTATACCCCAACAAAATGGTCTGACTGAAAGGTTCAATCGAACTATCCTGGAAAGATGAGGTTGTAACACCTCGAATTCAATTAATTTATTTAGTTGAATTTAGTTTCATTTTATTTAATTATTAAGTGTTTTATGTGATTTATTTTAATTAGTTGTAAATATATGTGTGTTATATGGTAGTTCGGGGCTGTTAGAACTTTAATTTGTTTATTTAATTAAATAGTCGGAGATTGATTAAATACATAGAATAAAATAAAATGGTTAGATTTAATTGAAAATAATATTTGACGGGCGTCAGCTATGGTGACGGTCCAACCGTCGTCGATTAGGCTAATTTTGTTAAAATACAGTTTTCATCATAACTTGAGTTCTGCAACTCTGTTTGAGACACAGTTTGAAGCGTTAGAAAGCTAACACGTAGTACTATCTTATTATGGTTCCCTAAGAGGATAAATATGCAGTTAAGGGCGTGAATAGATTGTTGTGATGGTTAATAATGATGAAAGAACTTTAATTGTTGTGATTGATTGAATTGGTGAATTTGGATGTTAATTGATGCATAAGTGATGGTTTGATTGTTTTATAATATGTTCCATGAATGTGATTATAATTGTTGTGTTGAATTACTATAATTAAAATTGGATGTATGTTGGTAAAATTAATTGATTAAATATTATATATTTGATTATAATAACAAATCAATCGTGATTGTTGTGTCTTTGGTGAATAATCATGTGATATGTACATGATTGAGATTGTTGTGTTATGGTTATTGGTGATTAATCATGTGATGTATATATAATTATGATTGTTGTGTCACAATGATAGTTCAGAAGGGGGTAACTATTTGTATGCTTGTATGCATTATTGTTATGATTGTTGGATAGTAGTTCAGAAGGGGGAACTAATATTGTGTTGTCAATGCATTTTGTTTATGGTTAGAAAGAGGGCCTTAAAAATTGTTATTGTTGTTGCATTGATTTGTATGACATGCATCATTTGTGTCATGTTGTTGAAAGAGGCGTGTTTTCTAGTTCATAATGGGGGACTAGGGGCTTGTCTCAAGCTCATAAGGGGGGGCTTGGAGCTCAGAAGGGGGGACCCTATTCATGAGAGAACCAAATGTTGAATTGGTACCACATGAATAATGTCGAGTGGTGAGTCACATTGCATACATACAAGCTCTGTGATGTTGGTGTGAATTATTCATGGTGTAGAGTGAGAATGAATGATTGTGAATTATTGTGTAAATGAATGTTGTTGTTATTATGTTCTTTATATCTACCCTCAAATTATTTACATTGTTAATATATCCAAGGTTATTCTCACCCATTTTTATCATTTTTTTGTGTGTTTATTGGTAGTTATTGTACAAATACTCAAAAGGAGTGACCTAGCTGATGTAAGCTGGGAAGAGAGCCTTGATCTTATCTTTGTTACTTTTTTTATCCGTATTTTATTTGGTTTAAAAATGTTCTGATCTATAACATCAGGAACAAGGCGTTTGAGTTGTTTCCTTGAATTAAGTTGTTTAATTCCAAGTTTTATTTTAAAATGTCA